TTCATTAAAAAACGCTACTACCTTTCTCTCCCCTTCTAACTCTTGGTTGACTGCCTTCGACTCGAAAGCGACGTGTGTCGCTGAGCGGAGATGGTCCGCTGGACTTTTGAATCGTCAAGGCCATTCGCCATGGCTAAATTAAAGTATGGAGGATTTTATTCTTATGAATTAATCTTCTAATTTGCCAATCTTCTGGAACCAACCACCCCTCTTTTCGAAATCTGCAATTATAAGATTGTAATTTCGAGCCGATCGGACTGAGAGTTTGTTAGATACGTATTTTTGTTGCATTTTTCGAACAATTCGTGTTTTTGATCGAATAGAAAAGCAACTTTGATAATACAATTAATATTTCTAATAGTTAAATCAGCGTGCTCATTTCTGTTACTGAGCTACGTAATCATTCACTGCTTTTGTTTATATATAAATTCATTAATATATATACTGTCGTATTTTGGTAAAATGTTTCTGTTCGCATAAAGCTAATATTACATATAATTTTCATTAGAAATTTTTATTGCAAAAAATAAATAAATATAAATAAACTTTTTAAATTCTGACTAATTATTTTTCGTTCGGGTTTTTAAATTGAATTTCTATTGCTTAACATGCTATATGGAAAGTTTCTTAATATATATAATTATGGTTGATATTACATTAATATATATATTGATGCACTTTTGTGTGTGATTTGTTGAAGTTTATCAAAGGAGATTTAATAAAGAATCTACTGTTTGAATAGTATACCCTAAGCTTTGCGTTTACACTTGTCAAAAGCCTTTGCAGTAAAATCGCTGAACCTGGTATTCAGTCCAAATCGAATCACCGGCAAACGGTTGGCTCATAAGTGTTTTCGTAATTTCAGTATGTGTGAGTGTATGCAGTATATTGTGAAGATACTACTAAAGCGGGCAGCAGCCGCGCATACCGAAACACTGGTAGTTCTGTCCAGCTTTCGAATAAAGGCTTCGGGCGCTGCATGGTTATTTTAGTTTTTTAGGTATGTTTATCGTGTATGCAGTAATTTTCGGACTTAAATGCGAATAAAGCGGGCGCAGTCCGCGCGAACACTGGTAGTAGGTTCACCTTCGATTCCAGCGAGCGGCTGGCTGCAAGGGTACTTTCGTGATTTTACGCATGTGTATCATGTACGCTGTATCTTCTGGACATATGTGAATAAGCGGGCGCACCGCGCAAATCCGCTGAAAACTGGTAGTTCGGTCCAACCTTTCGAATACCTGTTAAAGAGCTGTCTGTATGGGTATTTTCCTGATTTACGCAGTGACGTGTATGCAGAAATCTGGATGGATACGAAATAGAGGGGCGGATCCCGCAAATCTGCTGATCCTGGTAGTTCGATCCAACTTCGAATCCCGGGAACGGCTGCTGCATGTATGTTTTCAGATTTTCCGCAATGTCAACATTACGAAGTATCTTTTGGTTGCATACGCGAATAAAGCGGGTGCCAGCCCGGTAAAATAGTTGAACATTCGGACGAACTTTGAATAAAGGCCAACGATCTGGCTCTATAGGTGAATTCCGTGATTTTCCGCATGCGTGTTTGTGTATGCAGTATATTATGGATGAAATTTAATAAAAGCGGGCCGCAGCCCGCGCAAAAAACGCTAGACCTGGTAGTTCGGTCCAACTTCGGCAAGCGGGGTGGGTGCAAGGGTGGTTTTCGTGATTTGAAGCATATATAACGTGTATGCAGTATCTTTCCGATACATACGTTAATGAAGCGGGTGCAGCCCGGGTAAAATCGGTGAACACTGGTATTTCGGTCAAACTTTCGTATACCGGGGAAATTTAACACGGGAACTCTTTTACACACGAGCAATATATAGCGGGCTTCAGCCCGCTCAGCTGGCGGGCTTGCCCGCTAGTACTTTTATAAAAACTGCTCTAACAATCTGCAAAAAATAATAAGCCGGATCCAATTAGAAGATTAAGGAACAATGCAATCTGCAACATTAACTGAAATAGATAATTTTAGCTTAGCTTATACCGCCCGTTATACATTAAACGTGCATACGTAAACGTATTATGCCCATGAGTAGACGCATTATGCGTTTACGTTGGAGATTAAAGACTTTTGACTGTATCATGTGCTTCACACTTAAACCATAAAATTCAGTTTGACAGCAATATCACAAAATATTTTAAATGAGAGAATCGGATTTCCGTACAGTTCTCTGCATTAGAGATAAAAAAATGGTTTCTTTTCGTACAGTGTTGCCATTGCTTGCTTTGAAAATTTTGAGTTTGTTAATAGAAATTCAATAAAGTTTTACAAAATATGAAATGGATAATAAAACAAATTCCAAATTTGGGCCCATATTATGGTAGAAACATATGCTATTCAAAATTTGATGACTCTAGGTACCGTTGTTTTATCACAATACAAGAAATATACATACATTTATGCAGATTCTGCATTATTTAATTTCTTTCAATATAATACAGGGCTTTATTTGGTAGCAACAATGTAAAACATTATTCACTATTTATAATGAATCAATGCAAAATGCTAAAACGAAATAAAAAGCCTTTCTGAGCTAAAAACCTGAAAGGTTTCAGATTTTAACGATTGCTTAAAAGAATTTGTTACTGTCTTTTATGCTCTCGCTGAGCTTGCAGTCTACTAGTCTGCTTTTGTTCTCACTCCTGTTAAACAACTTCTTTTTGTCTTTTTAGCTGTATTATTAAGCATAATTTTCTTCACATTTATAGCCATATACAATTCAATTGCAAAAGTACTAAAATTTTGAAAGCAGCATACGTTTGGAATTCCAAATTCAGTGTTACGTGTTGCATGCCTTTTTCAGTCTTTTCTTAGGCCAACATATCAATGTTCAACTATGAACAAAAGTTTTGTACCAAGAAACTTACAAAACTTTTTTTTCATTTTTTTATTAATGTAATGTGTATATATTATATGTATTAATGTTGTATGATCTTAAATCCATTTAGTGCGAATACAAGTTATTACTACTTGCGCAATTGCTGCAAAGTTAGTTAATAATAATTTATTTCCTAAACGTATTGATTAATTGATTATATTATCTCCTAAGTTTAATTAAAGTAGAATTATTTTAAAAGTGTGACCATACTGGTAAGTTATATTTTGAAAGATGTTTTGAAGTAATTTGAAAGCAAAATGTTATAATGTTTCAACGGGGACTGGGGTTAAATCATCATGAAGAATAAAGCAATTGTAAAAGGAAAATTAAACATGTAATCATTGTCATTGATCGGAATTGACTTTTTCAAGGGGAACGAACCAACTCCCGTTCAATGAACAATAATTGAAAAATACGTAATACGAAAGTTTTCGTCTTTACTCGAGTTATAAGTTAAAGCCAAACCGGCAATTCTGGTCAGGCCAAATATTTCCGCGAATAGAAGGAATTATGAACCAATGCTGATACTCAAGAATTATTATGAAGCATTTTTAGTCAATTCAATTTGGAGTAAAAATCAATACTGTCGAGAAATCCTATTTAACTCGAGTACCGTCCCCTGACACTTTATGTTTATGCATTTGTGTACTATATTATTTGTAGAAATTAAACATTGGAAATTGTCATTATGAACGAATTCAAAGTAAAGTTGAAATAAACATAGAAGATTACAAAATAAGATAAATAATGCAAACTTGTAAAAACAAATCAAAGACATATAAAAAATCAGTGAATGTACAGAAGATATAAAGGCCAGAAAAGGTATTAAGTAACTTACATTCTTTCTAGTGGGGGGAGGTGCAAAGTGTTCTCTTCGTGTCCGACTCATAAGTGTAGGGTGTCCGAAAATCTTAGCGGCAGTAGGGGGCTTTTGAATAATATCAGTCGGTAACTTGGGTGAAGTAATTATGGTAGTGGGTGGACTTGGATTCTTGGGGATGTATTTGTGGAGTCTTATCTGAGTGAGACTGTCGTTAAGATTTTTTGAAAATACTAGTGAATGGAAATTAATTAATTTCTGGCTAATTGTCGTGTCGCAATGATTAAGAATTTAAGAAAGGAAAAAGGAATTTTCACTTTGATTTCATAGTGTTGTTCCACTGCTCAATTTCAAATTGTTGAGCTTCTTAATGAAAAATTCATTAAAGTTTCACAAAATATGAATATAAAATTCAAAAATCAGGCTTACAGATGCATGAGTATGTTATTAAAAATTTGTTGGCTCTAGGTGCTGTTGTTTTGAACCACAGGTAGTGAATTGGTGCAAAATCCCAATGCAAGACTAATAGCTCTTTTAAAAAAAAATTTTTTTAAGTGTTTTCACCATGCAATCTTTTTATAAACTATTTTAATATTGCTACAGACGGATTTAAAAAGAAACTGTGTAATATACAAAATTATTAACAATATTAATTCTTCACAATAATAAAGCAAGAAATATGTATTTTACTCAACAGCTCATATCTAAAATTTCTTTGTGAGATTTTTCTGTACATATATTATTTATTGCCAAATGAAAAATTATGAATCGAAAAATAAAAGAAAATTTGCACCAAAATGCTTTCATGATAACAGGTCTGAGTTGCTTGGTTAAATTTTGAGTAAAACTTAAATAAACAAAGCAATCAACACAGAAGGGAAAAGTTTATTGAATTAATGACATGAAAAATAAAGTGAAATAATGAAGTACAATAGAAAAATGGCATGTTATTATTGAATGACAATGTCATTAATATTTGAAATTCACACACAGTAATACCCACTTCATTACAAAAACTACAACATATACTTTTTTCCCTCATTTTCATACACATCAACATAACTAAAATCTTCCTTCTCTCTCCCGCCTATCTCTATCCTTTTCTCTGTCACGACTTCGCGAACGGCGTCTACGATCTCTACTGCGAGAACGTTTGCGCTCCCGACTTCGAGAACGAGGTGACCTAGAGCGTGACCTAAAAAATAAAATGAAATAATAGAACTATTATGTTTTAAAATAGTCATCAATAATTTTTCATTAATCAACAAAATTATTCATATTATCAACATATTCATATCTCTATTATTAATCAATTTTTAATAATCATAACTGTTTGCAGTCAGTCATTTAATTTTTATATTATTAGATTAGAACCGCAAGCTTCTGGTATCTTGAACCATCTTTTACATAGCAGACTATCAATATTTCAATGCGACTCCACATATTATCCTCACAGTATCTCTTTAAAACCCATACTGAAGTTAGTCTAGAGCAGGGCTCTTAGCTTTTAGTAACAGCTTTTCTTTCTTTCCTGTACATCTGTATATTCAAATCTTTTGATAAAGATTTATAGCACACGGTAAATTAATTAGCTCAATTTACAGAGTTTCTTGTGCACTACTCTTGTTAAATTTAATGGTAATGAAACTAATGTAAACTTGGATATCAAATACTTGAAATCTTTCCAATCATATTTGCAACAAATGTATAACTGAAATATATTTGCAGGCAGCATAACATTGGTCTGGGGCCATCTACTTCAGACCATTACTCTAGGTGATCAGTACAGTTGACACCCTGTATAAATTACACATATCAATAATATCTCTATTTGGCACTTGTGAGAAGAAATTGCCTATGCCTGAAGGCAACCCTACTGCTAGCATATAAATAAGAAACCTTACATTGGCAATAACATAAAATCCACAGCATGAGAACAGGCATCTTAGTTTTGAAATCTCAGAAAGGGGTTGCAGCCATACTAAAAAAAATTTCTAAATTTAACTGCAATGAAAGCTTTAAAAAAACATTTCACTGTAGTTTATTCAATTAATTCAAAATTTAAATACAATGAGGTACTTATACTTTCACTGCTATAGAAAAATTACATAAATGTTTATTTTTTAATTTTTTCTGATGATTTACTTTGTAAAATAATGTAAAAAAATTATCTATAATGCAATTCTTACATACACTTTTTTAAAATTTGTAAATTCCGTCATTTATTGGAAACGCGCATAAAGAAAGGTAAGTTCCTCCCCCTACTACCTCAGTAAGTTTCAAAGTCCTAGACGTGCAGTGGTTTCTTTCACAATGCGACCACCACCCACAGAACAATAGCCAAGAGTAGATTTTTTAAAATTCATATATTATTTGTCTCTATGATCATAGTATTTAATTTCTAGAGTTTTTAGTTAAAAAATTATAAAAATAATATTGCGCAAGTCAAGGGGTTAAGGACATACCTTGCAAACATTCTTTGTAATTTTTCTTAAGTTTCAGCTAATACTTCAATTATGAGGAAGAGATTTTGGGACAGAAATAATAATAAACCTCCCCATCACTATTGAAAACAAATGTATTATGCTTAATAAACTGAATCAAATAATTTTACAAAATTAAAAATATATTTTTTTCAAATGTAATATATCTTCAATTCTAAACAGATGCTTTAAATTACCTGCGCCTTCGATGACGTCCATATAATTCACGTCTCAGCTCTCGTGAAATAGGTTTCAAATGCATGAAATTACAAAATCCACTTCTTGTACATTCACTGAAAGAAATAGAATACAAATTTGAAGCAAAAAATTGAACATGAAAAATTAACTAGCAAAATATAAAGAAAACATAATAAGGAAATTTTTTTCTTCACCCACATTTACCAAATTTAATAAATTTATTTATAATCCTGATAATACTTAAATCTCTTCACAGTATATACACAGATGACTTTTGATAAATCAAAATGGAAGGAAGGAGAAGGGGGGACCCAAAGATAAATCTGGTTTGGATCATAATCTATAATGTTAAGAACATTAATTCTGAATTCTGTATTTTGATATTTAGCTAGCTTATATCAAGTTTGAAAAATCAAGCTATCAAATTAACAAGATTACTGCATTAAAAAAATTATAGTTTTCGACACATAACATTATGACCAAATATGAAGATACCAGATAACCATTGTATTCTTTTATTAAATACAAACTGGATTATAAGATACATTTTGTTTCTGTGATACAGAGATAAGTTACAGATAAACATATGTGTAACGTCATTCTGTTCCAAGCTGTAATATTATTTTAGAAATAAAACTACTGCTTTTTATGATGCAAGCCAGATTTAAAGGACCTAGAGACACAGTTTGAGATCTTGTAATAATCTTAACAGAATGCATATACAATTTTTTAGTTGCTAGTTTTTATTATGTGTGTGTGATTGATGGCAAAGCCTCGAGGGCTATCTGCCTAAGGGGAGGGATGCCTTCGCGGAGGACTTTATAAGGGAAACTGGCTCGTATGCACGTTACACATGGGGAAAACCACGAAAACGCCCATGCAGCCAGCCCATTCGCAGGATTCGAACCTCGGACCGAACTCCCAGTGTTCAGCGACTTTACCGCTTGGCCGCTGGTGGGCAGTTTTTATTATGCATGAATCAACTGCAATTGCTATTTATTATTTCTATTTTCCTTTCATTCACACAATACTTCTTTTATACATGCACATAAGTTTTTTTCTATTTATGACAGAAAAGCACTGTCAAATGCTTTGTCATTTAAAATGATATAAAATGGGATGTGGGGGAATTCATTTCCCTACATTGATGAGAGTAAGCACACTGTAGGACAACTGGTGGCAGTGAGAAGAACATATTCATAAGAACATATATATTGAGATAACCAAGATTTCTCGGAGACAATATATGGGATTTATAGTATAGGAAACAAAAGTGATGCAGTATTATACATCTGCAAAAATATTTAAATTCATTTTACTGCACTGTTGCAATATTGTGCATTTATTTATGTTTTGTATCTGTTGCCATATATAAGTTTTGTTTCTGATATGGAATTGATCTCTTTTCCTTTTTCTCTCTCTCTCTTTTTTTTTTTTTTAATTCTCAGTGTGGCAAAATATTAGCTTAAGATGCAAGATATGCTCTTCATTGGCCTTGGCAACTGATCCTTGCCAAAATTTCCAAAAGCTCATATTATACCAGACTAGTACTCACGTCCAACACTAAATACAACTTGGAAGAGTTGTTATTAATTGCTGTTACTTATTGTGAGATTTAGTATTAGTTGAACTGTAGTTTTCACAATTGACAATATTTCTTGTGAACTATGGAAGAATAATTTAATATCCGTGTTTTGGTTAAGTTACTTACTATTATTTATTGTGCTGTAAAACATGTAAAGTTAATTTTTGTAGTAATTTGTTAATTTCTTCACACGAACTGTTAGCCCACAACAGTATAAAGCTCATCCATTAATATCTCATCATCATCTTTATCTGTCAGGTCACATATCTTCCATTCCTTTACAAGACTCCTGATTGAACGTTTAAAGCTGATATCTGTTGTATGCTCCTGTTGAATGTGAAAGACTTGAAGAAAAATCATAAGACCGACAGTTAAAACTGACATCCCTCCCCCACTGAACAGCTGTTCCTAGCAGACTAATGAAAACTGCTTCAAACTTAGAATTCTTCTGAAATAAATTACTACTTTTCTACAATTACTGCATCAAATAAATGCTGACCAATAATCCCCTTTTACAGTTTGTTCTAAAGTCAAAATCCTCTTTGGAGTCAATTTAAGTCTTCCAGTTTTGCTTTTAACTAGCCTTTTTCAGCCATTATTTGTACAGAAAGGCTGCCTTAACTTTAATAATTATTAGTTCCAAAATAATGGGCAGGTTTTTACTTACAGAATTTTACTTTGTTTGCTTATGTTTTCTGCTACAAATACTGGAAACACATTAATTTTATAACAATATCTTTATTTATTTTGTTTTTCATTCTTTGCTCCTATTTTTAAGTTTGTATCATTTTTATTATTTAATTCCTTTAAAAATGCTTATGAACGAGTATTTAATAATGTCCTGATAATTGATAATTTTATAAAAATTCCTATCAATCATGTTTAAAAAATCCAGCCCCCTTAGGGATTTCTGTAATTGAACACTTGCATGTAAAGTTTAGATTTATACACAAGAAGAAAAATTATACAAATAATTAAAACAGATGCCAGAAAGCATGAGTTATGATTTTCTAATCAGATAAAAATCAATCAACATATTTCTAATATTCTGCTATTTTAAGCTACTAACATTACAGATGCTTTAAATTACAGTCTTAATTTTACACTTTCATATTCTTATTACCTTTCCAGAAAATCTGAGAAGTACTTCAAAAATATTTAACACAAAAGAACTTAATAAAAGTCCAAATGGTCTCACCCCATTTCATACTGACGACAACACGCTTCACGGAAATCAGTAACAGGTGACAATTCAGCATATATGGGACGTCCAGCAAACCATCTTTTATTCAAATCTTCTACAGCCTTTTCTGCATCTTCTTCTCGTCTGAACTATAAGAATTTTATAATAGAATGTACTCTCAAAATTATTTTTCAATAAAAATTTTAATGAAAATAGATAACAAGTGCAAAACAATAATGCAAATTCACATACCTTTTAAATGGTATAAAAAGCGGTTTTATTAATAGAATTTAACGAACATAGCCAAGCCCCTATGATTTAGCAACATATAATTTGGGTCTTTCAATTATAAATGTAATTTAAATTAAAAAAATAAAACTAACCAGCTGAATTAAAATTATACTTCAAAAAATCATAATCATTAAATATTTTTGCAAACCCAATCACACAACTAGCTAATAAAAAAGAAAACTCTTTTACACAGAAATTTATTCTAAATAACTACATTGAACATTTTGTAACTTAAAATAATATTATTATCACACGGCCTTTAACATTTTTCGTAACAAGCAAGTTGATAAGATTGCAAATCCTTTCACAGATTTTTCAGGAAGATCATAAAAACCTTAAATAAAACCTTTTGCACCTTGCTTAACAGAAATGATGACAAATCTAATACTAAATAAAAAGCAGCCATTCTCTGTCCACAGATGATTAACAAGCAATTTAATTAGGAATTATATAAATTAAATGCCTTACATTCAAGTTTCTCTGAAAGCAAATTAACTACAAGATATGAAAGCAACAAAGAATGAATTATTTTTTCCCTGCACTTAACACCTAGACTCCCCCCCCCTATCCTGAGAAAATTCATCAATGATTTGCCACTAAGAATTTCTGAATACCAGAACTTTTAAAGTATTTATTTATTAGGTAGATATTAAATCATTTCTTGATACTTAGAAGGGTAGGTTTTCAAGTTTTTGTTAGCTAATTTGGCTAAAAGTCTCATATCATTATTTTGTGGTAATGATGGTAGATGATGTAAAGATGAAGTTATTCCAAGCACTAATTCACTTCCAAATAATTAACACATCCATGTGACCTACTTTAAATCAAACACTGTACATCAAGACTAAAACTGTACTTATGGTTCCAAGAATAGTGGTAAAGACTTTATTAAAATGTGTGGTGCTGAATTATTTGAATAGCTTTCTTATTTACACATAATACTTTAAACTATAAAGGAAGGCGGGCAAGACTTTTTATTATAATACAAAAACATGCCACTTTAAATAAAAATCTTTAATTAGTGCCTGTAATATTAACACTGCTTTTCTTCTAATAACTGCTAATTAAAAATGTACAGAAATAAAAGTAGTTAAAAATATACAACTAAAGTGAATATTTTTGTATTTTTTTACCATTTAAACACACTGAAAAGCCATTAAGACCATTTTCATTAAAGAGTAACAATGAAAAATAGTATCTTTTATACCTGAGAAAAATTGCTGCTTTCCCGTGTTTGACCATTTCAAATATGACAGGACAGTAGTTAAGACTCTTTGATCAGTCACTAATTAAGTTAAAACAAAATTAGTAGGAAAGAAGTAATTCCTAAAAACCTAAACTGAATAAAATTAATATTTTCCTGTTCCATACCATGGAAAACTTAATTTAATTTAGTCAATGCATTACCTTTTGTACCATAACCACACACTTTTAAAACATTTTAAACCAATTTAAATATATTTTACAATAAAACTTAAGATCATAAATAATGATAACAAAGGATTTTACAAAATTTTCTACTTAAAAGTACACAATTAACTAGTATAAAAAATCAAATATGTACATTTTAAAATGCAAGTCTTTTGAACATACCTTAACATAAACATTTCCAACAAGATGGTCCCCAAGATTATCACAAACATTCATTTCTTCAATTTCACCATACTGCAAATACATACAAATTTACTGTAGTTATGTATTAAAAAGTCTGCATAAGGACACACATGCTTATTTTTTATACTTTACTCTTTTCTTAATAATTTTTGCTGCGTTTTAAAAAAGATATTCATTGGAAAATATAAATGGTTCAATATTGAATTTACTTTCAACAGTCATGATGAATTTTTTATATTAATTTCACAAATTAGTTGTAAAATACAACACAACTAATTTGTGCAAGTAATTAAAAAATTAATATAATTTATAAAGGATGATGAAGATTAATAATTCATACACATTATATACCTAGTTTGCTTGTGCAAACTTCCTACAAAAATTATTAGTACTTGTCAGTTATAGCGACTCTCGAATAAAAAAAAAAAAAAACTTAAATGCCCAATAAATGCCAAATGTAAGTTAGCTAGCTTTTATACGCCTCCTATGTTGCCCCCATTTTTTAATAATCTTTCAGCAGAGCTATTCTTTACTGCTGAATTCAAAATATTTTCATTTTCAGTTCTTTTACAATAATAATGATTTTCAGATAAGCTTTAAATCTGAATTAAAAGCTTTTACATTATACAAAGTCCAATATCCGGAATCGTTGGGACTTCGGCAATTCTGGATTCCGTAAATTTCCAAATTTTAGATTATCCATTTTAAATCTAGTTAGATTATTGGTACACATAGGAATTATAAAATAAAAAATGAAAGGTTTTTATGAAGCATTTATGATCTCATGGAAACCAACATTTACAGCAAGGAAGCTCAATTTTAACATTTATTTAGTTTCATTATATTTTTTTTCAATGTAAGTTCTCAAGCAATTTTAGTTTCTAAGTGTTAAAATTTTTTTTCCCCAATTTTATAGACATAATTTCTTCACTTCCAAAAGCCTGTAATTGCTAAGTCAAAAATTCCCATTACATAGCACACTGAAATCTTTTTGTCTTCACAATCAGTGGTAATATTTTCCAAATTTACAACTACACAACAGGTTTTGCCAGCCATTTATTGATTAATGACTGGGCACTGTCATTGCAATTGAAAACTTCAGTTATATCACTTTCATTTAGCATTTCTTCACATTTTCCTTTAATGAAAAAGTCTTACCCTTTCACTTGCGATACTATGCAAAAATTTTCAATTTCAGATCATTTATATCATGAAATATGATAGCTTGGCTTTAAACAGGCCTAGCTCCAGCATTTTCACCACCATACCCAATCAATGTGGTTGTCTCCTTGTATAAATAAAACATATTTATTATTAAAACTGAAAAGTATTCTTATTTAACTGCCATTTGTAAGAATAACTTAACTGGTGTCTTTTAACAATCAATCAGTAGCGCAGGCAACTGTTTCTACTGAATATGCCTATGGAAGCATTTAAAAAAAGTACCTGCATACCTTCCTTCTCATGATCTTGCAATTTTCCACACATATTTGCATAGATGAAATACTTCCAAGAATTCTAGGAGGGTCTTACTACTGCAATGATTTTTAAAAGGCTACTTTTATGTATGCATTTTAGCGTGTAAAGAATTCTGATATTCAATCACTGGATTGTAAAGTTTTGATGCCCGAGTAAAACAGAAGAGTTACCTTTCACTAAAACTTAAAATTTTGATACAATAACAATAATAATAACAAACTGAACAAAATAATAACCTGGATCAAACATCGGTTTACAAGACTAACAGAAAATCTGGGCAGCTTAAAACACTATCACTAGCAAGTTTCTAATTTAATTGTTTCCTACTTTGGTCAGTTTATGTGGCTTTAGGAAGTATAAAAACAGTACCAAGATCCTTTACCCCATACCTGCCAACCTCTAAAGATAAAAATTCAGAAGATTTCTCCAAAATTCAGAAGAACACGAAGAATTAATATCATGCTTTGATATTAAAAAAATAACAATTTATACAAATAGAAAAAATAAAATTGTACTTACATTAGCAAATCTCAATTAAGTAGTAACTAAAAAATTTATTAGGAAACATAAATCAAGAACTTAATGTTACATAAAAAAATTATTGCAATGAATTTAGAGTAAAATTTCCTGTCATAACAATTAGTTTCCTCATAACATTTAGCAATTAAAATGTTTTCTAGAGTTTTTGGTGAAATTGAGGATTGAAACATAGTTTTGTTTTTCTTCACAACAAACACTCTGCCAAAATGACATCGGCATCCGAATTCGTAGCCGAATTTGAAAAAAAATCATCCACTTTCTTTGACGTTGTCAATGCTTAGCATTAGACGTTCATGTCGAAGTTTAGACTTAACATGCTTCACAATGTCGCTTCTTCCACCGTGACTTATTATGAAGTCACACACGCACACGTTGCAAAATGCATAGTTATTTCCTTTGAAGGATTCTTTAATTGTTGGAAATTTGGTTTTGTAGGCAGGCCGAAAATATTGAGAATACATTTTTTTTAACTCATTTCGTAACAACGACGTATTAAGAAAATTTGTAGCACGTGAAAAACCCGACAATCCACGCTCGCTGAGTCTGAGCCAAAGAAAGTCTATGTAAAGAAGGAAAGGCTCCATAGACGTAATGTAAACCAGTTTGTCTTCTACGTCGCTAGAAAGAAGAGGGACAATTCGCCAAGGGGTTTGGCGACGGAACCTGTTGGCGAGAATTTCCCCCTTTGTGATGTACCTGGCCGAGATTTTCCACCACGTGTACAGGAAATTGAGGAGCACGGGTAAGAAGAATCGTTCTTTGACTTTTCGCGATAATTTAAACTCGAATTTTCGTGCTTTTTCGCTTTACTAGTTGAACTTGTACTATTCATATCGCAGTTTGATGTCTGATTTTATATCTGTCAATATGTAGGGAAAAAAAAATGGAGTCACACAGCTTTAAAATCTTGATAAACGTGACCGTTGAACCTCTTTGAACTTCCACATCAGCTTCGACGCTTTTTGGCGACAGATATTTCATGCGCAGTTGTGTCCCTTTTCGTTTGGAGGGAGCCACTCCTGCTGCTACGAAGCTTTCTTTCTTAACAATACATATTCTTTGTCCGAGCTGAGCAATTCCCTTGCTGCTGAAGCGAACGCGAAAAAAACAATCTGGCGGCCACAAAGAAAAGAGTGGGAGAAACAAGTTCAGCGCATTGGATTGGCTGGTTAAGCGGCGAGTTGGGAGAAACCGCAGGTTACTGGATTCGAAGTAGTCGGTAGTTGGCGGTAAAACACGATGCAATTGGCAAAAATAGCTGAATTGGCGAAAAATTCTAAAATTTCGACAAAAATCACTAAAAACACTTGAAAACGGAAAAAAATCGTAAAAAATGAATTACGATCGTAAAATCGTAAAAACAAACGCATTTTCGTAAAAATTACGAAAAATTCGTAAAAGTTGGCAGGTATGCTTTACCCTCTATTTTCAGAAACTGGTGAAATTATTTAAAAGCCATGGTCTGTAGATCAGGAAACAAATTAAATGTAAGTTTTTAATTTACATTTGTTTAATTCTTAATTGCTATTTGCTGCAATGGAAATTTCATTGATATCTTGCTGCTTCTCAAAACTGCTAGTGAGCTACCAATTTGAAAATTATTTTTAGCTTTGGTGCATCAATTTCGCACAACAGCTGAAACGTGTCAATTCCTGTTTCATGTCAGAGATGCTACAACCGATAAATACCAACTTATCACTATTACATATTTCAATGGTTAATCTTATGAAATTACACAACTAATATATGAGATAATATGAATAAACATATATTTCACAAAAAGTACAGCTTCATAATAAAAATAATTAAGATCATACCGACAGAAAAGTCCAAACACAGATAAATAACGATTAATATCAGCAGACATGATGTAATTGCTAATTTTCCTTAATTTTTTAATACCTTTCTAGAAACAAGTATAGGTTAAAGAAAGGCTGGCATAGAAATGCGCATAACAGGTATCATTGGGCCTTGCTAACTGCTCAAGTTCCTCTCAATGAATTTCCCAGCACTCGAGATGTGGTCCATGGGTCTCTCACCTTTCCGATACAGGAAATATTACTATCACAAAAGGATTCTGAGTGCTCCTTTACCACACACACAATATATGATTACAAACATCTATGCCTTGTCCAGGATTCAAACCCAGGCTCTTTAGTACAGCAGTCAGCATAACTAACCACTATTTTAGCTTTTATGCAGTAAATTTATTACATAAGCAATATTTTTCTTCTTTTTTAAAAAAGATAACTTTGTTAAATAAACTGATGCAGCCAAAAAATTTTTATGCTTGTTTTTTCTGAACAGATTATTGTAAAGCATTAAAAAAGCACTTACATGGCAGATTTTGAAATACTTCAAAGAAAGGAAAAAATCTTTAAGTATCAGTGAAAATTTTGTACATACACAATTAAATTTTACTACTCTAGTTAAGTAAAAAAATGTATAAAATCAGAAAACAAACCAAAACTTTAAATTTATCTTTGATCAATAATTTCTTACTAAACCATATTCTAATTCTTTTTATGAAACTTAAAATATTTAATTTTTTTAAGATTACACACACCTAGACAACAACATACATTAGGTCAAAATTTAAATATCTAACATAAATAGAATAAAATTTGATATTTTCAGATTATCTGCACCCACACTGAAAAGTCATGAAAAGCAATAATGAGGCAAAGCAATATGGTGCCAAAATAGTTTGTAGCAATCCAGATAAGCCTGTAACATGTCTGTTCTGACTGGTGTGCAATTCTCTGATGTTTCCCTAATATGTTCACTGCTCATAATGTGCTGGTGTGATGTGGCATTATCACTTAAGAGCCAATGATGCAGTGGAACATTAAAAGCTCTGCCTCATTGCCCAGTTTAATCCATATTCTGTTTTGAGTATGTTTTGAGTACTGACATAGAGTGAAGGTTAGATACTAGTTGTAAATGTATGTAATTTCAAATTAATTGCTTTATTACTTATTGAAAAAAATAATCTTGCAACATTTTTATTTGTACAGATGGCAGATCTGCAAGGCCTTCACACCAAAAGAAAAGTGTAAAATAAAAACATTTAAAGGCTAATGAAATTGCAAGTTTGTTTGCTCAGCTATCAGACGGTACGTAACCCAAATGATTTTAATCATGATAGTAACAATGATGAGAAATTCTTTCCTCCCAAAGATGGCCATGATATCTCAGATATATGAGGGTGGTTTGATAAGGTAAATTTCTACGAGATGACACTACAATAGATTCATTGGTGGGACATCTCGAAAGATCCACTCAGGTCAAGTTTCAGCCAGAAGGGACGTGTAGTTCATGTTCGGTAGGCATTTAAAGCAAGCGGTTTAAAAGTTTTTGGCAAAAATGGAGAAAAACAAATTCTATGCAGTGATAAATTAATTAAAGAAGTAGACAGCAGTGCATATGAAAGCCGCACTAGACGAAGTTCACAGGGACTCTACTCTTGCACTGAAAATCATTTAATTTTGAATACAAGAATTTAAACATGGCCAAACATGCACTGAAGAGGACTCTGGACAACCAGTTGAGATACCACAAAAGAAATCATAGGAAAACTATATGGTATGATGATGGGTGTAGCAAGTGCTCACTTTTGATCATAAATGCACCATGAAGCTATCTTCACCGCTATAGTCTGAAGACTGTGTTGCTGATTGTTTCAGTGTGTTTATTGTAGTTTTTCGATGACTGTAAATGTGCCTTTGGAACCGTCCTGTGTAATACTGGCCAATAAATTGTGTTGGGATTCTTCATCAAGTGTTATCATCAATTACTTCAAATCTATGAACCAGTAGATCGCAACAATATCAAGGAGGTATGAGGAATTTTTAATGCATGTAATGAAAGAATTACCACACCTCAATGCACTACATATAACAAAAAATAAAAAGTCAGTACACCAAAGACAGATGATGATAATGATGATACTTCGAAGACCTGAAAAAAATCTTCGAAGATATTAAATAGGACAAACAGTTTGTCTATTGGTTCCTTCATATTACATTTTTTCAACGCATTCTATTAAACTTTTTAATAATAATCCTGAAGAAGTCATAGAAAGTGCCTAGCACACTTTCTGTGCCGTTTTTGATTGGTCTATTCTTTCTAGATGCTAAATCACTATGTCTAGGAATTCTTGATTCCTTATTCTGCAGCATCACATTTCTGGCAAAATTTTGAGGTTTTTCAGTGGTTTTCTATCTGGCTGAGCAGTCTTAATTGCTTTATTGGGAATCTTATACACAAAGGGACTGGAGTTACTTGTTCAACATGTAGTTCTTGGTTAACTGCTTGAGGAACATTTGTCTTTTATGAATACCTTTTATTAAAATATAATGGGTTTTATGATATTTACAATAACTGGCAGCATGAGATTACCTGCAGCTGCAACAAGTTAATTTAGAGATCCACTCTGCCTCGCACTCATCTTTTGTAAAGTAATGAGCATCTAATGCACAAAATACATTTTCTGACATAGTGGGTTGCCTATTTTAGAAACATAGCATATTGCCTCATGAATATTCTTCAGGACAGGGCATAATCGGGATGTACCAGAATTTTCCTAATTAATCATAATGTAAAAAATTATAATTTCCTTTCGAAAATGGCCACTGTAAAAATCTTTGGCAGTACTTGAAATTTGGACATTACATGCTATTTTGCCAATTAAGCATGGTGGCCACTTTAACATGAAAGTAAAACATTAATTAACTGTGAATACAAGAGGTAGAATTCAATTACTTTTTACAATATTTTATCTAATCAGGGTTGCCACTCAAACAGGAGAATGAAATTCCCTGACTTTTCCAGGTTTTCCAGGTGTGTTTCAAGAAAATTCCAGTCTATTCGCGTAATGTACTTTGGCTACGCTAAGAGGTAAATTTATTATGGTATTACTTGTATTGTGTAGCAAATTCACTTAATTATTCAATAAATCCCAAAGGACATTTATTCTTAATTATTCTTGGTATACTTTGTTTGATAATTTTGTTCACTTTTCCACTTTTGTTCACTAATAAAATTTAAGATATATAAATTGGATAACAAATGTATGTTTTATTTAATTATTACTCATGATCATCACCAGTTCAACACGAGGCTAATCCGGTCCTTATAAATCATAATGCAATGCTAAATAGTTAGGTTAGATTTTAGGTAAATTTAATTTGTGTGAGGTATGTTCTTAAAAAGCACCTTAACACTTGAAAACACAAACATAATTATAATAGTTGTTGTTTTCTCTATTGAAGATTGATCTTCCCAATCTGGAATAAAATAAGGCTTTTTTTGCAGACATTCTGCAGCTAAATGAAAGAAAGAAATCTATTTTAATAAATTGAGGTATTTTATATTTATTTCGCAGCATACATAAGGAAAAAATATGTGCATTAAATTTCGTGATGGTATGTCATCATACTGCTAGAATTAATTTCAAGATTATGCCAGAGAAAATTTCCTGAAATTTGGAAATATTATTTACTAATAATAAATAAATTTAGAGGGAAGAAGCATCATTAAATTATACGAATAACATAAAAATAAAGATAATTACTTAAAAATTGAATTAGAATAATCAACGATATTTTTTAGCGAATATAGTTATATTACATGGTTAGCCTAGATGACAGATTACTATTTTTTTATTTTACTGCAAAAATGGCAAGGGTATTTATTAAAAAGAAAAAAAAAGTTTTAAAAAGATTTTGCGGTAAATTTTCTAAAATTCTAGTATACGGTAAGGCTTTGGCACGATTTTGAAAATTGTCGCCAAGACCAAAATGACCCGTTTACTGCGCATCATCATGTCGCCAAATCCCATTGTACCATACATGGAGATTATTCTAACCAAAGAACGTCTATGCAAAGAATCTCTGATTCTTTGGTCTATGTAAAGAAGAAAAGGTTCCATACAAGTAAAATGCTATTACGCCGCTAGAATGCGGAGGGAAAATATGCCAAGGGATTTGGCGACGGAACCTAACGGCCAGAATTTCCCTCTCTGCGATGTGTACCGGAAATTGAGAAACGTGTTAAGAAGAAACGTTCTTTGACAAAAAGAAAGCTACGAAAATCCGTTTTTAAATTATTGCGAAAAGGAAATTTATAAAAGGAAAAGGAAAGAAAGGTTTTATCAAAGGACGTTTCTTCTTAGATTTGTCGCAATAATTTTAAAAACGGATGTTCGTAGTTTCCCCCCCCCCGAAAATTACTAACCCATGAATTAATTTACTTGCGCCAAAAAATATTTTCTTTTCCTTTAGAGTTTAACCACTTGCGCTAAGACTAAACTTCACGGTTGCGGTGCCGTGCGCTACAATATAGCACGCGGTAAAGTGTCTCATTTACGCCGCTCCGCATCTGCGAGTGCAATCCAGAGCTGTAACTCGAAAAATAAACAATCTCGTTGTTAGGCGACGTTATTTTCATTTTTGCGATAAATGCTTATCGGCGTGGTGTTCGCGTCGCTCGCAGTTTGAGACAAAAACATCTCGACGTGCGTGGCACGTCTTTTTAGCGCAAGTGGTTAAAGAAATTTTAAAGGATATTCATTTAATGAACTCTTGATAACGTGACCTTCGAACTTCCACACCAGTTTCGAGCTTTGGCAGCAGATATATCACGCATGCACAGCTGTTTCCCTCCATGATGGAACGGAGCCACGTCTGTTGCAGAGAGGTTTTCCTTCTTTACAAAACATATTCTTTGATTCTAACCTCCATGGTACTGTATACTAAGATTAAACCCATTTTGTTCTCGTATAATTTTGTTTTATACGAGAACAGGTACTTTCTTTAGTTCATGCACTGCACATGCTATTCTCGAGAATACTGGAAACCAAAAGTTGCGGGAAATTTGCTTTGCCTTTCTAAAAGACAATCAAATTGGAGCTGCGAAAATTGGCTCTATGCCAGCTGCCCGAACGACACTCACGTGATACGCAATTCGCCAAAAAAGTTATCTCTTCCGACGTCGGCGCAAAAATCGCTTTTTTTGGCGGAATCATTGTATGAACTTCCCTGACTTTTCCAGATTTTGACAAAAATACTTAACTTCCCTGACTTTTCCCTGAATTTTTTGGTCAATTTTCGAATTCCCTGACTTTTCCCGGTTCTCCAGGTAGCGTGGCAACCCTGTCTAATGTATGAATTAATTTTATTTTCCTTTATTATTTGAAATACATTTTGCCACTAAACACACATGAGAACTTACTTTATCTTCCAGTTCAACAAAAACATCTTCAAAGAAATTATCAAAATGTTCTTGAACTTCTTCCTCAGTTAAGTTTGTCACTAAACAAGAAACCAAAAAATAAAACAGATGTGAGTTAATACATAGCATCCATTTAAAGTTCTAATGATATGAGCAGGAAAAATTAAGAAATACTACACACATGCATTTATTATGGTACTAGCATACTAACTTGCACTTTAGTAAAAGTCGCCAAATTTTCAGAATGCGCCAAACTCTGACAAACTTGAGCATAATAAATTCTTCAGCTTTACCAAGCAAAATTACCATTTAAGTTCTTTTGTGGTAATATTCCAAGTTTCAATTTTTTTTTAAACTCGCAAGTCGCACTTTTTTCTTTCCTAAAACTCTATTTTTAAAACATACGCTGATATTTGCATGTTGTGACACTGCAACAATATTTCTGCAGGAATACAATATTTTCCTGCAAAACTGATAAAGGGAACAACTGTCTTGAATACAATCTTGACGATGACCACGAAATTTTTGCGAGAACAAAAGAGACAAGAAAATTCACCTGCAACAAGCTTTATCAATTGATTTTTGAAATACACACATAATTTAAATACAACATATGTAGTTATGAATACCTGTATATTATTTTGTTGGCCAAGAAATTCACCAAGCAATGTGATTTTGGACCAATTATGGATAAGCATAAAATGAATGCATAACACTTGCATCTTTGTTTCATGCAATGTAGATGAATTCTTAATAAGCCACATTTTGTTTTTGTAAACAAGGACAGAACTAAAGTGTTTATTGTTGCACTTTTTTTTTTTTTCATTTTAAAGGGAACGATAAAAATTTGGGATTTGTCTTCTACAGAAGATTAAGCAGTGAATTTGAAAACACTTGACATAAAAAAAAGTGTGTACTAATAGACATGATATGGTGCTTTATTTGAAAATGAATAAATAATGGCAATAATGTCAAAAATTTTAATAGCAGAATATCTATTTGAAAAGAAACTTGGTTCAAGAACTCTAGAATTACATTTATGACAGCACTCTGCTTCCTTTATAGCTTGTTGAGAGAATTAGTATCTGTTGAATGAGAGAAAAAACAGCTGGATATGATAGACAAAATAATAATAGACTCGAACAATTATCAGTGAAAAGTTCCCTAACACTTTGAACACAGCATTTGGTAAAGTTGGAGAGCCTAAGAAAACAATACAAACTGACAAAAGATTTTTTTAAGAAGCAGATCGAATACTTCTGCAACAATGGCTGTTAAGTGGAATCTGAAGAAAGATTGATGAATGTTTCGTTGTAAGAGTTGCAGATAGAAGTATGGCTACTTTGAAGAAGCAATATGCATACTCAAAACTACGAAGCGAATTTATATGGCACCAAGTTCTTAAAAGAAGTGATTATTTTGTTACAATTTTAAATGCCATTAGGGATTTTTCCACTTCTGGAATAACTGCAAGTTTTCATAAATTGTTTTATTAGTTTATAGAGCTTGAATGGATAATTATATGCATTATTTTTATGCACGCAATTTATAATTTGATTCTGAGGACAGCCCATGCAAATACAAAATGACTGTTTATTTTAAAAAAAGGCAGGTATGTAATAAATAACTTTCTGCAGTTATCAGTCATTATTTTTCTTCCGTGTGTGCAGGACTTAGAAGAGAAGGGCTAGCTCATAGAGCTTTTCCCCCTGAAGCAGAAAGTGAGAAGTGATAAGGTAGTCATGATGACACTGAGTGCGCAGATGCAATTCACAGCTTGAAAATTAGCGTTTTTGAACCAGCGTTTAAAATGAGCTGTGTGTGAAAGATAGCTATAATTTGGAAGAGACAAAGTTACTGCTTTATGCATTTTAGACTGAACCATTAAAGAATTTAATAATACATACTCAATTTTAAAATAATACATAAAATGTGCTACTCTTTTAACATAAAGTTCCATGGGGTTTTTTTATTTTTATTTTCAGGTTTTTTATTTAATGCACATTTATTTCTAATCATTTCTTTATCTGCATGTTAACTGAGAGAATTCTTATACTGCTTCTAAGATAACTGTAATAGCAGCTATTTAAATTTACTCAAAAAAACAATTTTACATTGACATAGTTTTAAACATACTATATGACATATATGGCAACATTTCTGCTAACCTACGTTTGATTTTTTGCCTAATTGTAAATTTTACATTGTTATAATTCTCTTCCGATTCAATATAATAATCGATATTTTTTAAACAATTTTGTAATTTATACATATATCTATATTACAATTAAATAAATGTATGTAAGATTGTTACCTTAATTTTGACAAAATAGCTTTACTTAGAGTATCCTAATAACAGTTACTTTTAATTTTTCAAAAGAATGTGAGTAAAGGAAGCAGGTCTTTTTATGCCAATTACTTTGATGCTTTTAGACTATGTATATAATTTTATCTAGAAATGGTGCGCTAATTTTAGTGTAGTCCAAGAATAGAAAGAATTAGAATGCAATTCTTGGACTACACTAAAATTTACTAATTAATTCTTGGAGTCCAAGAATAAATGCTAATAATCTAGCACAAAATCGAATTAATAATTAGTTACAAAAGGATACAATAAGAATAACTTTAACAAGTACTTAACAAAATTAGTTTGTTAAATAATTGTTATTCTTGTTGGTACTATTTTGGTACTATTCATAACACTGAAGATACGAGGGCCATCCAGGAAGTAGATTACGTTTCCGTCTGTGTCCGCTAGGGGCGGGGCTAGCGCGGCCATCTTGGGGTCAGAGCGTTGCGCAGCTCAGTCTGCATCTAGCCGTGCTAGTGAGAGGTTCGTGCTGTGCTCCGTTCAGATACTGTGACGGTTTGAAATGTCTGCGTTAATTGAAAATCCCGCGAGCTGCGAGGTGCGCTCAGTAATAAGGTTTCTGACTGCAAAAAACTGTAAACCGATAGAAATCTATCGGCAGCTTCTTGAAGTGTATGGGGACAACATTATCACTGAAGGTGGAGTTCGTCAGTGGGTCATAAGATTTCAAAATGGCCGAACCAATGTTCACGACGAAGATCGAAGTGGGAGACCCAGCATAGTGACCGCCGAACTTCTCGAAAAAGTCGATGCTAAAGTCCGTGAAAATCGAAATTTCACAATAACGGAACTTTCTTTGAGTTTTCCACAAATTTCGCGAAGTTTGTTGCACGAAATCATCAGCGAAAAGCTTGGTTACCACAAGTTTTGTGCAAGATGGTTCCAAAAATCTTGACAGAGGACCACAAAATCAGCGAATGGCTGCAGCGTTGAACTTTTTGGACGCTTACCATAAGGATGGTGACTCTTTACTCGATCGCATCGTTACTGGTGACAAAAATGGGTGAAACATGTGAACTGTGAAACGAAATTGCAATCATGCGTTTTGATGACGACGCACAGCTGCAAGAAGAGGTAACGAAGTGGTTGAAGGCGCAGGCGGCCGAATTTTTCGACGAAGGAATTTCCAAGCTCGTACATCGCTACGATAAATGTCTTAATTTGTATGGTGACTATGTAGAAAAGTAGTATTTGAGTGTGGCTTTCATCTGTATATAATAAAATTTGTTTCCTATACATTGTTTATTTTTTTATTCCAAAACGTAATCTACTTTCTGGATAGCCCTCGTATTATCGATTAACTCATAGAAGTCAGATGCTTTTTGATTTCCTGTGGGGTGGAGTATACCTTTTGCGGTACTTTTTCAAAATAATGTTTTCTATGGAGCGACTTTTTGTCTCTCATTTCCCTTGACCATTAAATAATTCGCTTTTAGTTTGTGACACAATTTGATTTCTTCTCAATCTCTATTTAAAACCTCTTTAATAATATCAAAATTTAAAACAGTTCCATCTTCTAAAACACATCCTTTATCTAAAACGTGGTTTCTCAGTAATTTGAGGCAGAGTGCGAAATGAGACCTCTGATTAAAACAAACTGCACATTTTGAAAAGAACCGAAAACTTGGTCCAGTTTAGAGTCATAGCAGAGTTTTCAATCTATATGCATTTCGTCGAAACTGAGAACGCATATTTTTTCTACAGAATACAAATATTCGCCTCTTTCCTTCTTTAGAGTAAGAACATCACTTTGAATTCTTGGACTACACTAAAATTTAGCTAGTGATGAGTTGGTACTACCGAACCGGGTATTTTGTAACAGGTACTTAGTTGTAATGGATACTGAAAATCGGTACATCCAAGTACTCGTTACTTCAGTACCGAAATCGATACTTTTTGGTATTCGTTACTTCTGTACCGAAATGGGTACTTTTCGGTATTCGTTATTTCTGTACCGAAACAGGCACTTTTTGGTATTCGTTACTTCTGTACCAAAATGGATACTTTTCGGTATTCGTTACTTCTGTACCGAAGCGGGTATTTTTCGGTATTCGTTATTTCTGTACCGAAACGGGTGCTTTTCGGTATTCGTGCGTCTTTTCTCGGTATTTGTTATTGGAGGATCGATGAGGGTTCAGCTCACTTCGGTTTTGGTACGAGGACAGTAGTATCTGGTTGTATTTGCGAAATGGTGATATGCGCTCCTTGTGTCTACGAATGGTCTGCTCCTCAGACATTTCCGTAGTTGACATGTTTTCTGATATTCAAAATCTTACTCCGTACAGATAAAATCAAACACGTGGTGACGTGGCAGAATTCCTTCAGTGCGCAAAATCGCTAGCTGCGTATTTCGGTACTCCAAATCGTTACTAGGGCACTTCGGTACTCCAAATCGTTATTAGGGTACTTCAGTACTCCAAATCATTACTAGGGTACTCCGGTACAGCAAACAGTTACTCAGGTATTTCGTTACTTCGGTACTTGAAATCGGTTTTCGGTACTTTTCAAAGTAAACGGTTACTTGAGTAACGGGTATTTTGTACCAGGTACTTGTCTGTACCCGTTACTCTCGTACCGGGTACAAGAATGTACCAAAGTTGCCCATCACTAAATTTAGCACAACATTTCTTTAATTTACTAATACTAGGTAAAGATATTCCAATTTAAAAAAAATTTTTTTTTTCCCCCATAAATCATAGGTTTAAGATA